CCCCCTGCGCGAAGGCGAGAGGCCTATGAACGAGTACTGACAAGCACACGCACGGCGACGGCCCCCCGAGTACTGTACGTCACTGGCAGCGCGGCGTAGAGCAATGCCGCTCCATCCACGGAGCCCCGATGACAATTTAGGCCTAGAGACGAGTACGGACGAGCGCACTCGTGGCAGCGGCCTCCGTGTACAAGTTAATCAACACCTGCCGCGTGCGCGTTCCACCGCTCATACATAAAATAACAAACAATCAGAGTATTTTGCCACAGAAAGTTACTTCCGCCGGTTTAGCGAAATAAACGACTACGGAATCGATTTTGGCGTACGCTATAACCACTACCGTACTCGAAGCGGAGGGGTAGTGAGGTCAGCGTCCTATACCGGAACCCAACAAGTTAACTCGCCGGCCAGTCGGTAGCTTTTGGGAATATGTACTAACTCTTGCTACATATGGTGGATATCTACCACGTATACAAAATTAAAACGAAACAGTTTACCTTTTATCTTTAAACGGATAGCGCAACAGAGGTAGGTGCCTTGGACCGCGTACTCGTTGAACGAGAACGACCATGACGTCACGTCCGCCTAGCGGCGGGGTTCCAGTGTTACCAGGGCCTCGAGTGGCTAGCTTCGGTTTTGTCGACCGCGCCCCAAAGGAAACTTCGAGGTGTCGATATCTTTAAAACTGCGCACAATACCGAGAAAAAAATTACTCCTTGTAATGCATGGACGCTGACTGCGCTAAAAACAGTTGTAATCCCAAAATCAAAACTATGGACCGGAGTTGCCCTTGAACCAGTGTTAGCTCGAACGCGACTGCCTCATCACTGTGCGTTATCAACGCGTCGGCTACGTTGCCCTTTAATTGGCCAGCGTATATTTGCCTTCTAATGCGCCAAAGCTCACCACCTAGATAGAAGGTCTTCGCATGGTCTCTTCTCCCTCTATGAAACGTCATCAGAGTCGGATCGCGCTAACTCGGCCATTGGGCTCGAGCCCGACCTTCGACACGTTGATTGAACACGAGCCCCAGCCGAACAATGACACAGCACTCGTGCCCAATCTGACGCTTCGATCGCTCTGACTCTCATTATGCGTGTGGAGGCCTTCTGTCTAGAAAGGAAGAAGACGACGACGACACTGCTGCTGGTAACCCTTTTCGTGTCTCTGAATTTTCCTTACGTAGCCGATAAATTGCGTGTTTAAACAGTACATTCGGTGGTTAGCAACTAACAGAACGACATAGGATCTTCGTGCGCAAAGGACCTCCTGAAGGGAGGCCAGGGGGGCTATGTTGCGCTTTTTGCACTCCCAGGAGACTAGGGAGAGGGAAGTGACGTCAACAACGCAGCAAATGCAGATTGGATGTTGATTTTGTTTTCTTCTGTCAACATCCAATCTGCATTTGCTCTAGTCGTTGACGTCACTTCCCTCTTCCAAGTCTCCTGCGAGTGCAAAAAGCGCAACATAGCACCCCAGGACATCAACAAATATGACCTCGGACATCGAGTCATCGAACGCTCCCATGTCCATTGATATGGATGAAGCTCGGGCAAGCACATCGACGATCATCAAAGACGGCTATGAGATTCCGCCCATACACTGCACCGCTGAAACAATGAGCAGTTCTTCATCGATAATCGTGTCTACTAATGACGAGTTGCACTCCGACGACGGGGACTACGAGGTCGTTCATGGCAAGAAAAGACGAAAGACAAGCTAGAGCTCAGCATCGCATTCTAAAGAGAAAACCAACCTACAAGTCGGATTCACCGTACTGTACATGCCAACTGACACCAGCAAGGTTGCATCGCTCAGCAAATTTAAACTGAGTGACTACCTGAACAACATCGCACCAGACATGGTGAGTGTAGCTCGTATCAACAAAGCTCGTAATATCGTTGCGGTTGACGTTAAAAAGCCTGCCCTCAAAGCCGAACTCCTGAAGCTAACCAAGCTATGCGCACTGCCGGTGCGTGCTTTTCTACCTAGCGACCGCACAAATTGCTATGGCGTCCTTCGAGACATCGACCCTGACTGCACAGAGACCGACATAAAAACGCGACTACAGTCAACCGCCTGCATAACGGAAGTGAAGCGCCTTGGAAAGACATCACCCGTTGTGCGAGTGTCGTTCGCAACAAAAGTATCTCCTCAACATGTCAATGTCGGTCTTGTAAGAACGGAAGTAATTCCCTACCGAGCACGCCCCTTGCAGTGCTACAGGTGTCACAAATTCGGCCACATCGCAGCTGCCTGCGCAGAAGAAACCCAGTTATGTTCTCGGTGTGGACAATGCCACAAAGACAAGTGCGAAGCCAACCTCTGCTGCGTCAACTGTCACGGAAATCACGCCTCCAACGCACCTGAGTGCCCAGTGAGGGCAAGGGAGGCAGAAGTAGCGAGGTACAAGTTAGAGCACAACACCACATTTCGTGAGGCAAAAAGTGCTGTGCATGCAAAAAGACAGGCAAACAAACCAACGGATTCAAACAACATACAAGAAACTAGCGCCTCCTCCAACAATACTCTGCCTCTGACTGCTCAAGACTTCCTCCCCTCTCGAAGACGTAGATAGCACGCCTGCAAATCTGGTCACCACTAAATGTACCGCAACAACTACAGTGCCAGTTTCTAGGAAACCTTCGTTTTGGGACAAACCACACATCAAAAACATCACTTCACATAAGACCTCCAACATGTAGATGACCGGACCCAACCAAGAAAGTGGAACAAAGACTGACTCTCTGTTTAAATCCATAATCCCACTTATGTTCACTGCTCTTCGCAAGATACTGGCCACAACGTCACATACATCAACACTTCATCAAGTGATCAAAGCCCCCCTCACATTAGAACCCATTATTGCCATGCTATGCTAGAGCGTTTCCAAGAAAGCCTTACTTGTCAGTACAGATATTTTCTTCACTGTAACTCGCAAGCTAATGGCATCGAACAGATGAGCCAGATCATATTGAAACTGAGCCTGTTGCAATGGAGTGGAACGAACCCTGTTCGTCACAAGCCCTCTACAAATTTATATGGTATACGCTTCGTAAAACGCTCTCATCAGATAATTTAAGGCACAAACACCTCATACACCAGTATGAACCACAGACCTCAATGCTGCAGGACAGCAATTTTCCACCATTCGCCTGCCCACACCAACTCATCCGCGATGGGAGATATTAATTGGAGGACCACCAAGCATCTTCAACCCCTCTCCTGCTCAGTTTTTCAATGAAACTGTGACGGATTGAGAACGCGACTCCCTGAGCTCCGCAAACACCTATTGGACAACGCCTACAATGCAATAGCTCTCCAAGAACCAAGAATGTCAGCCGGCGACATGCGCATTGCGGATCATGTAGTGTACGCCAGCAAACCACATGTGGCAAGAGGGTTTCCGCGGGCAGCACTATTAGTGCGTCGAAAGTTGCCACAAAGTGAGGTGGACCTCAATGATTTATGCACTGAGAGTGCGGAGTTCGTGGCGGTAACGGTGGAATGGAGAAGACGTCCACTCACCATCGTCTCGGCATACGTGGCCCCTAACGTACCCTGGGACACACATGTACTTGCGGACATTCGAGTCCGAGCCAAGGGAGACCTTATAGTAGCCGGAGACTTCAATGCGCACTCGCAGTCTTGGGGAAACAAGCAAGACTCCCCACGGGGACGGGAGCTACAGGCAACGGTCGAAGCACTTGACCTGAGGAACATCACAAGTGGAAGCCAGACGTTTATCCGTCCTGGAGTGACGGGAAGCGTGATTGATCTCACCTTCACAACTTGGTCCCTGAGGCTCAGTGCAACTCCTCAGGCGGACAGCTGGGGGAGTGATCACCTTCCAATTGTCATTGGAATACCGCCGAAAGTCCCCCTTAGGACTTGCCAGGTAGTCGACTGGGACCACTACAGGACACTGCTTGGAGAAGCACTAAAGGGGGGATTTCCCTTCAATTTAGAAACACTGTCGCGCGTCCTCAAAGAAGCCACCCGTGAAGTCAGCGTGCCATTAACACGTCCTAACCCTGACCTCGAATGGCTTAAACTCCGAGCGAGAAGACGGCGAGCCCAGCGAAAGTCATGGGTCACCGGAAAACCGGAGGATATACTGGCCTATAGGCGACTGGATGCCAGATTCAGGAAACACGGAAAGAAACTGGCGCGCCGACAATGGCGTCTCAAGTGTAGTACTCTAGACAGGCCATCCGGAGGAAGCCGGGCTTGGAGGATGTCGAGAACACTGGCGGGCTGCCCGATTCCCCGAAACCCAGTCCTTGGAATGGCCGTGGCCATGAACCTCCGACCAACAGGCATGGTAGAACTCCTCGCGGATACTTTCACCAAAGTTCCGCTGGTACCGACAGTCCCCCGAGAATTGGGACAAGTTCCGTCATCCCACGGCACCTCTGATGCAACAACCGGAGACCGACTTTACTCTGCGCGAGCTGCACTACGTCCTTGATACCACTGCTGAAGCCCGGCAAGCCCCAAGACCAGCTAAGCTCATACAGGCCTATCTCCTTGACATCATGCCTCGGGAAAGTGATGGAGCGTATGGTGCTACGCCGTCTTGTTTACCACCTGGAAGGGGCAAGGGCTTTACCGGACTGTTTTTCGGGATTCCGGCACCATCGGAGCACAGCAGATGCAATGGGAGATACCGTCAGCTCACTGGAAGAGGCAAAAGCGCAGGGTTGGTCTGCGGTGGCCGTCTTTCTGGACGTCCGCAAAGCCTTTCATGCCCTCCCCCACAAGGCTGTCATTTCAGCTCTACGCCGTTTCGGGTGAACGGACGTCCACTGAAATACATTTGTGCGTTTCTTAGTGAACGCACTATGTGTGTAAAGGCTGGCAACGCGGTGAGCAACCCCCGGAAAATCATCCGAGGAGTTCCTCAAGGGAGCGTTGTTAGTTCGCTACTCTTTGCTCTGGCCTTCGCGTCACTCCCAGCGGCGGCAAGGGTTGGAGAAGAGCCGGCGTACCCTATCAGCATGGCCGTCTATGCAGACGACGTGGCACTCTGGTCCACTGCCCCCAGCTACAGAAGGCAACGTATGGTATGCGCTCTCCAGCGAGCCCTGACAAATGCAGTGTATCGTCTCCACCAACTGGGCTTGGCAATATCAGCCGAAAAAACGATTGCGCTGTGCTACTCTCCAAAGAGGCCAAGCAAGTTCATGCCCACACTACGCATTAGGGACACTCCAGTGAAACTGGCGAAAACGGCCACATATCTTGGCGTCACGTTGGACTCGAGGCTATCCTGGGGCCCAGCAATGAGGGAAGTGCTTCAAAAGATGCGAACCCATACAAACATCCTCCGGATGGTCAGCGGAACTACTTGGGGAACCTCATCTAACATGATGCTGCAACTGTATAGGGGGCTCATCCTGGCCCGCCCATTGTACGCCCTACTTTTCGCCACACTCAGTCTCAACCAGCTCAAAAACTTTGAACAAGCGCAACGCGTGGCACTCAGGATTTGCCTTGGAGTTCCCCGCACAGCCTCGTCTCTACATACGCTCACAGAATCCAGGATTAACTTTGTAGAGAACATCATGCAAGAACGGGCGCTGGGTCATCTGACTCGAATGAGCAACTGCGACTCGACCATCACGCTCCTAATGAGGATCGCCCAGCGGGCTGAATCAAGACTAGGAATGCACCTCTGCATTCTTGGTGACATAGCTGGCACACCAGGACCACTCGCTCCACTCTCAGAGCTGCACAAAGATCCCCACCCCCTGCGTACCAGCCTTCATATCCCTGGACTGCGGTCCAAGAAGAACGTAGCAGTGGTTGTAGCAAGGCAGCTCACGGAAGATCACTTAGTTACCCAGTACGATGGGTGGACCCGAGTGTACACCGACGGATCAGTGGACCCCACCGGAGGCACAGCAACGGCAGCGGCTTTCTTCGAGGCAGCAGCTGTGGGTACCAGTGAGCGCCTGGATCACCAGGCATCCTCCACCACGGCAGAGCTAGCAGCCATACGGCTCGCACTCTGGGGTATTCGGACAGGCTGCACACAGGCCTTATGCTGGGTCATCCTGAGCGACTCAAGATCAGCCCTCGAGCTGCTATCTAGGCTCCAACGGGCAACGCCCCTGGCCCTTTCAATCGCGCAGGATGCAGTCGAGCTTCAGCAAGAAGGCAACGACATTGCCTTCCAATGGCTCCCGAGCGACTGTGGCATTAGAGGCAATGAAGTCGTTGATTTTCTAGCGGTGCGGGCTCACAAGGACCCCGAGTGCCCGCTTTCAACCGTTCCCCGCTTCTCAGACGCCAAGCTCCTTGTGAGAAGAGCCATCGCCCTACAGCACCCGGACCCTGTTGTGGTGGCGGGTACCTTCCCAGCTCGGGTACCGCGCGGCTTCGACCGCCAAACTGCCGCAGTAATACACAGATTACGGACCGGAAGCGCCTTCACCCCGGCGTGCATAAGTCGCTTCAGACTCAATGTTGACCCCATATGCCAGACCTGCGAGGAAACGGCCGACGCCGAACATCTCCTTCTGCACTGCAGTGATCACGAAGAGGAGCGCACCAACCTCCGTGATGCTTTTTCCCGCCTAGGGCTACCTAGTACCAACTTGGAAGAACTCCTGCGTCCAAGAGCCTCACGAGCTACTACGGACAAGGCACTCAAGAGTGTCGTCAGCTTCCTAAGGAGCGCGGAGCTCCTCGAGATACTGTAAGACTTGCAAGAGATCTAGGTTGCTTGCGGCTCCTGGGGCTCTTGGAAATCTTACATCCAGAGGTTTTCGGGAGTTCCAGGAGTCGCGAGTCAACACTCTGAAGAAATCCTCTTCCCCCTTCCCCCTCTCTCCTCCTCTATCTCTTTTTTCCCTTAATTCCCTTCCCCATCGACAGTGACAAGTGCGCCCAGAGCGTAACTAACAACAACGTCGATTTCCTAATAAACATCGCTTCAACAACAACAACAAGCCTTCTGTCTAGGCGATGTTGGCCAAGGACGCATCTTAGAACACTTTGTCGCCGTATACAGTCTCCTTCCCTTAGTGTCACAAGACGGCCGTGTCCTCTCCTCATTAACTAGGCATGCACTGGTTTAAGTTCTGATAATCGGAATTATTTATACACTCGTGTGTGTTTTTCTTCTTTGGAATTCTTCCTCCGTGCCGGTCGCGAAATTGGTTCGTTCTTAGAAGTGTACCCTTTGACTGTCGTACCTTGCCTTACCTACAAACTTAATACCCAATTCACATTGCAGCGTAAAGGTACCTTTAGTTTAGGTTACTTAGCTGAACGTACCTGTAGTAAACGGCCTTCTGAATCACACGATAAACTAACGGAGCGCTTTGAGTTGATGTCGATTACGTTCCTGCTAAGCCGCGAGAGTAGCACGTGATAAACCATTATTCCTTGAAATCGGTTTGACGCGCAGTTTTTTGTTATTGTGTGGGAAATATCACTTTAAAACCCAAATATTATTTGTGTTTGCTTTTCCGATACTTTATTTTATTACTCTAAGTCTAAGGGCGCATCTAAATGAGTCTTGCTTTAAAACGTCCCCCCGTCTGGCCACACTGGCCCTAATCAGCTGCATTTACGAGTTTCCATTCCATGGTGTGCGACCTTTTTCTGTTTAGTTATAGCTATATTTTTCCGCAAAGTTTTCACTAAAGTAACAAAATAGTGCCCGGCAGAAACGAACCATTGTTCGTTTCTGCCGGGTACCGTGAGACTCATGGTTACGCCAGTCTCGCCATTGAAAGGTACAGGGGACGACGAGCTTCTGGGTCCCTAAATTGCGCTTTTTGGCTTCCCAGGGCGACCAGGGAGAGGGAAATGACGTCAAAAACTCTCTTTGTATGTTGATTGGTGGAGTCACTGATGACGAATTTCTGCGATGTCGTCACGGCGTCAGAAGGTGACTTTCCGCGATGCGTGGTGTTGCTAAGATACGCCGTGGGAGTCCAAAAACCGCAACATAGGGCCCCTGGATACGGTTTGGTCGCTTCAACAGCAGCGGATCCAGTTTAACCAAATGGAGGAGCGGATCCAAGCAATGGAAGCAAAAGCGGACACACTCGAGGAAATGGGGTTCGTAGCAGAGATCGCTTTCCACGTGCTGCCGCTGCTACCTGCTAGCTGGAGTGTGCGTTCCTCGTTAATGTATTATTCCATCACATCTGTGTTTACAATCAGTTCATAATTTGCCACTTATATATATTCAATTTGCTCTAATTCATTAAACAAGATATATTTATATATCTGTGATTTTTATTTTGAGTTCGTGGGTTCGAGGCCACTCCCCGTAGCTGTAAAGGGAGCTTGGCGAGCTCCGTTTAACACAGGACCTCCCTTAGCGAAAGGGACCTTCATGCGCCGTGTGATTACGACTTCCAGCTCTCTTTACTACAGGTACAGTCGGCGGCAAAAGTTTCCGGGGCGCGGGAGCGTCAGCCGAAATGACTGGTTGCGCCTTCTGACGGCGCGCGGCCGCTCTCAAGATGCACGCTTCGAGAATGTGCTTCCTTTCGTGCTCAAAGTCATGTCTTTTTTGCTCGCTTCCGCCCGACGTGCACGAGATAGCCAGGACTGGCGCAAGGTGCCGCTATGACAGCCATCATGCTAAAGCCCCTCTATCCTGGGAAAAGTGGCGCCATTCATTATAGTAGAAATGCTCGAGGCACGTGCTGCGCGCCTCTTCTGGGAAATTCATGGCGGCTGAAATCTAGCTCAGTGCTGTGCAGTGGCGCCACGATCTTCCCAAGGGCTGTGCGTTGCATATTCCTCGTGCCTCGACGAACCTTCCGCTACTTTGGAAACATGAAGGGGCTTTTTCATGCCGCGCGGCTGCCTCAGCCACCGTGATGGGTGATGAAGCTCGCGCATGCTACAGATAACCTTTGCGGCACCTTGCGCCAGTCCCTGTTATCTCGTGGGTGTCGAACTGAATCGGGCGAAAAAAGCATGACCGCGAATAAGAAAGGAAGCGCATGCTCAAAGCGTGAGTCTTGAGAGCGGCAACGCGCCGTGAGAAGGCGCAGTCTGTCTTTTCAGCTGGCGCTCTTGTGCCCCGCAAACTGTTGCTCCCGACTGTACCTGTGCCAAGGGTGCCTTTACGCTGCCGTGCGAATTGGGTATTAAAGTTATTTACTCGAAAATAAATGATGAGACAATTATACTGACGGCCATTAATTTTTGCCAATGAGACCTTTTGTCATCAGTCGTATATTATTATTATTATTATTATTATTTTTTTTTTTTGTGGTTGTGTGATGGTCAGTTTTTGGAGGAACAATTTGGCCCTGGTTTCAAAAATCGCCCTGCAAACTGTGCGGGAAAGATAGTGCTGCTCCGCTCTATTATTAAGCCATAGAGTTTATGGCATAGCAGTATTTTCTTCTCGATGCTTACGATTTGCAGGAAAGATTTGGCCCGCGTTTCAAGAAACAACCTGCAAACAAGCTCGGAATGACGGTGTATCTCGGCGAATTGTTTTGTACGACACTAAAAACGGTGATTATTGAAAAAAACAATTCTGAGAGAAAGGAAAAAAAAAACATTTGATGTGTACACATGCTTATAACGCTTTACGAGTACCAGTGCATGCAAACGACGGACGACGAGTCCGAATACGGTTCAAAGTCCGAGTAAGTACTCTTTATCGAAGTCACGTATACTTTTAAGTTTTCTTCTCGTCTTGCTTTCTTTCTTGTTTCGCAAGATTAAGCTGATAACAGCCACCAGTGTAGTTTCAAACACAGCCGTCGAGGCCTGACTTGAATCGAACGAATATATTGCGACCATTGATGGTTACCGACCGACTGACCTACCTCTTCTGCCCCTTTCCCCCAAGATCAGCTATTTCAGCGACTCTGGGCTGGCATGACCCAGAGACATGCTTTTGACAAACGTTTAAAGTAAAACAAGTTCCTCGAAAATAATTCTCACATAAAAAAACAAAAAAAAAATATATTTACAATTTTCTGTGACGCCGAATTAGAGCGCAGCTCTTGAGGATGAGAAGGGAATGCTACGGAAAGGAGAGTATGCCCCTCTTCCCTCCCCGCTACATATAGCGGGAAAAGATTTTCCAATAAATTTTTGGGGGAAAATTTTACCCTCGTGATGTCACACGTGACGTAACTAGGGTAAATTTAGCGGGAATTTTTCCACCAAATTTAACGGAATTTCGCGGGTGAGGTGAGGAGAACGTTTATTTAAACCTAGGACAAACGCCAGTCCCCAAAGCGGGGGCCACACCGGTCAGACACCACACAAAAGACAGTCCTCATATATATTAATTTCCAAATTTCCATATTTTCTCAGACATTTTTCGGAAACCAGCGCGGTTTCCGACGCATGCTGTCGTGCGAAACACAGCTATTTGTATTTCTTTAAGACATTCATGCAAATTTACTCGCACTTATGGAAACTCACGCGATTTTCATCGACTTTTTGAAGGCGTTTGAGAAGGTTCCACACAAACTTCTTCTCAAATTACAGTCAGTGGGAGTCGAACCGAGTGCTTTATGTTGGATAGAAGCATTCCTAACCAACCGAACGCAGTACGTTACGAGTAACCCTAATTCTTTTTCTGTCAAAGTTAAATCCAGTGTGCCCCAGGGAACAGTGTTGGGACCACTGTTGTTTCTTGTTTACATGAACGACCTTCCGCACTGCATCAAATCCAATAGAGGATTGTACTCTGATGATTCTGTGCTTTACCGAAGAATCGCCGATATATCGAAGAGTGCCCTTTTACAACAAGATCTTGACAGCTTTGTGTTATGATGCAAGGAGTGGCAAATGCAAGTTAATGTAAGGAAGACAAAGTGTATGTGATTTACAACTACACGTAAGACTTTAAATTCTAGTCACATGCTCCACCACAGTGTAATGGAGAATGTTATTAGTTATAAATACCTTGGCGTCTTTTTAACAGCTAACCTTAACAGGGAAACCCATATAACGAGCATAGTTATGAAAGGAAGCAGAGCAGATCGTTAGCTTACATTAAATGCCATTTGAAGTCAGCTGCGCAAAAAAACGAAGCTTATTGCCTTTAGCTCTATTGTAAGATCACAGCTTGAATTTGCTTCCTCAGTATGGAACCTCCAGCAGTCTTACGTAATAGACCTGCCTGAATGAGTACAAAACAAAGCTGCGCGCTTCATACTCCAAGATTTTAAACGTGAAAGCAGTGACACAGCGCTGAAGGATACACTTAACATTCCTTTTTTGAAGTACCGAAGAGCTTGTGCGCGCTTAATAATGTTACAAAGACTGTAATATTGTTCCCCAGAATTGACAAAGCAAAAATATTGTAAACCTGAGCATCACATATTACCGCGTTGTTGCTAATTTCATTTATCCTCGCCACGAACGAATCTATACAGGTACTCACCATTGCAACTGTCGACCGCTCTGTGGAACAAGCTGCCCGATGACATGGTTATTCTAGCAAATATGGATGATTTCAGAGATGCGCTGAATAAAGCGCACGACCTGTGCGCCAGTTGTTGAATTGTGTTGTATTTAGGTAAGTTTTCATTATTATTTTGTAACCCTTATGTAAAGCCCACAAATGGCCGATTTACGGGTAATAAAATGAAATGCAACGAAATCCGCGCCCCGAGTGGCGCGGTGCACCAAGTTCAAAGAGAAACTCGGCACGCGCCACCCGAACTACGAACACCTGGGCGGCTCGCCCCCACAGGC